AGCAACGCATGGACCCACTTTGCCGAGGCGGGGTTCTCCTTTTTTTGAAAAGAGGCTTCCTGAGAGAGACGAGACGGCCGGGGAAGAGGGCCCTCTTTTTGCTGTTCTTAACGGGGCGACCGTATGACTAATAATATAAAGACTTCCATATAATTAAACAATAATATTATGAATAATCCTTTCGTACATTACCATTACCCTGTGCCAAGGAAGAGGACGTTCTGAGATGGCTGTCTGAGGTCGCAGATGACTTCCGCAAGTCGCTGCTTCCCACACAGGGGATGAAGCTGTACGTGAACCTGACGCTGGGACGTCTCTTCAGTTCCGTTTTTGTTTTCCCGATTCCGGCTCTTTCTCAGAGGGCAATTGAAAGCACTTGAAGTCAGATATGGGTGGTTATCAAAATTATGGTCCCTTTTTTGGGTCCTTAGTATAATACGGCACCTAATGTTTAGGGTACCCAAAAAGGGGCCATAATTTTGACAACTACCCATATGAGTTACCGAGGATTGAGACAGCTTTTTCGCAGTTCGAGCACTCAGCAGTTCCATGGTTCCTGAAGACGTTCTCACAAGAAGAGCGAGCGACTTAGTAGCTGAGTGGATACACTTTGCACTTTTGGGATAATATGACCCACTATAAAACTAAAAGTCCAAAAGTGTACACTTTTTCGGGCTTATGAACTCAGCAACTAAGGAGACGTGGGCGATCGCAGACGTCCATTGGTACGTGGCCTGGAGTAATGGCGTCTGTGATGGTCGCACGGCTGCCCGACCGCACATGGGAGTTTCCGAAAACAGGGGACCCTAATATAGTACTCTAAATAGTAGGATCCTTATTATAAGGACCCCCAAAATGAGGTACCCCTAATTTTCGGAAACTCCCACATACCTTCGGCCCCCACCTGCTTGCGCTTGCTCTCTGCTAGGCAAAACCTACCCCACAGTCCTATTTTGGGGTCCATAGAATGAGGATCCTACTATTTGGGGTGCCATACATCGGGAGGACGAAAGTTTTGACCTACTGGGCCTTTCTTGTCGTAAGACATCTTGCGGAGTAGCGGAGCATGCGATTTACGTGGCCTGGCCAGCGGAGTATTTTATACCCCGTTTTGAAATTGTACTACTTTAATGTTCCAGAGGAGCAACTGGGGTCCTGTGCCTGTCTTGGACGAAAGAAGGAGTAGGTCAAACTTTCGTCCTACCGCAGTATTGGGGTCCCCTATTTTCGGAAACTCCCATATACCAGACGCGATACCAGACCATACCCTATAGTACCCATAGATCTATGCTTTCGAGGTAGCAGGCGGCGCTTACAGCTGCTCGTCGCCGCTTTCAGACGTGCGAGGGAAACTGAGCAGCTGTGCTCATGGAGCCTCCCAGAGGCTTCGAAACCTCTTTGGCAAAGGAGCTCGGGTTCCTTTAAAGGGTTACTATAAGGGTACGGGTTCTATGAAGGGTTTAGGGTTTAGAGTTAGAGTTTCCGCCTGCGTAGCATAGCTGACTCTGTTGCTATATTCGACGGTTCTGTGATCTTCTTACTCGCAGAGTAACGCTGCTTTTCCCTGCAGGATTGGTGGCAGTCACCGAGTTTTCGGCAGGAACGTTTCATCAGGCCAGGTATGCTTGCAGCGACTCCCACATCTTGCGGGCCTTCCTTGAGGAGCCACGGCTTAGGGTTACGGGTTTAGGGTTTCTTTCCGCACCCCACTCCAACGAACACAGGACAAACCACACCTCTAAGAACCATCCCAACGCCAAAACCACCCCCTAGACCCTCAACCCTCCTGAACCAAAAAAGCCAGAACCCTAAACCCTCCGGAACCCAAAAAGGCAAGAACCCTAAACTCCCTAAGCCCTCACCAAGCAGCCGTGAAGCCGAGGAGCAGGTCACAGCGTTCCGGTCGGCAGCTGAGCTAAGGCTCCAAAGGTGAATGGGGGCACAGTTTTGAAAGTAGCCTTAGGGGTTTAGGGTTTAGGGTTTAGGGGGCTTGCTAACGCATCCTTCTGGTATACTTGTATCTTTCTAACATCCTACGATGATTATATCAACTCTGCCCCCTTACGAAGTTGGCAAGGGTCCGCCACAAGGGATCATTCATGCCCCCTTCCGATGATGGGTCGTCTCCTCGAAAATGACCAACAAGCCAAAGAATACACGCACGGCCACGAGGGCTGGAGTTTTCCTGTGTTTGAGGTTTTGCCGGACCATTGCCACAGTGGCCAGTTGAACAGCAAATAGCTGGAAAGAAAAACTTTGAGACATCGAGTGAGGAGCACCGCTGCCGTGCATGACGTTACATGCTTCCGAGACGTGCTATTCGCACATACAGAATTTTCATGATAACCTCTTGATGCACGAGGCCAGCTGACTGTGCATGACATATGTGGCGGCACTATTTAGCTTCATATGTGTCGCCCGCCCGCTACAGAAGCCTCGAAACTCTGGTCGGATTCGCAGCTACGCGCTCTCTGCGAGTATCGGAGCTACTCGGGAAGGACACCTCATCAAAAGAACTCGAAAAGTGTTGATGCACTCAGATGTCATATGCATCGCGCACAGTTCGCAGAACTCTCACGCTCACTTCACTTCACTCGCAAACTCGCGGCTTCCACACTCGGGCTGCTGTCCCGGGTTGGGTTACTGCTGTGTGTCATTGTTGCTATGTTGCACGAGTCCACCCTCAAACCCTGAAGCTTCTGCAAACCCCCAAAAGGTCAGACGGCATCGAGCCGTTCTTCTGGACATGGAAGATGCCCTTTGGCCCCAACTTCGAGGCCACACGAAGTTTGCCACATCCTCATATGCCCTCTTGATTTTCGGATTCAGGCAGGGGGTTTGATATGGTACCTGAGGGTTCAGAGAGGGTGCGTATGTTGCCATTAGAAGCTTTAAGGAGAGCAGTAGTACGCTTCATGTCCAAAACCGCAACCACACAACAACTTGTAGCGCTGAGCCCCTAAATCTTAAACCCTACACCTTTGATCCCTAAAGCCTAAACCCCAAACCTCTTGACCCTAAACCTCAACACCTTAATCCAGGTGTAGGCTGGCGCGAGTTCCGGGACTCGACCCCAAACCACCAAAAGCCGTACACTCCTCTCTTACATGTAAACTCCGACGATGCCCACACCCCGAAACTCTAAACCTAAACACCCCAAAGTTCTTCCAAATCCCAAAGATGCCCCCAACCCCGAAACCCTCAGCCCCCTGAGCCACAAACAGCCTTAACGTTCCTTAGCTCCTAAGCACTCGTCAACCCTAAACGCTAAACCCCCAACCACTCTTAAACCAGTCTTTTGATCGCAAAGATGCCCTGCCTCCGAGACCCGAAGCCGCCTAAAAAGTAGGAACCTGATTAAGAAATCCGGGGCCTATAACCCCAAAAGAGCAGGATTCACATAAGGAGCCCTAATAAAGGCCCAAGGTTTCTTAATCAGGTTCCTATAAACTCCCACAGCTTCCGAAGAGGCCGGCTGGAGCTTAAAATACCTCTTGGGTCTCGAGAAGGATCCTTGGGCCGCCTCTAAGGGTTTCTTGGATTCGGGGGGGTTTCGCTTAAGGGCTCCTTTAAGGGGGTCCCTTTAAGCATTCCTTGGGCTGCTTTACGGGTTCCTTTAATGATTCCGTAGGCTCCTGTAGGGGTTCCTTTCAGGATCTGCTAAGGTGTCAAGATTACCACGAGGCTTTGGGGTTTCGGGGTTCGGGGCTGCGTTTCGGGATCTAGGGTTTGAGGTCTCGGGTCTGGGGTTTTGGGGTTTGAAGGTTTGTAGACTTTGGGTTTGAGGTTTAGGGTTTGGGGTTTAGGGTGTAGGGTTTAGGTAGGCTTTGGGTTTGAGGTTTAGGCAGTTAGGGGCTCACGGCTCAGTTTTGTGGTGGGTTTTGAATTTGGTATGTCGCTAGGCCTGGTGGACGTATGGTACAAGTCCTGACGATGTCGGAGCATTGTAGTTGCGCTTAAGATTTTGTGCACATTGTTCATCTTCAAAGCTGAGACTTTAGCACATCTTGCTCCAGTCCATCCGAGGATCCCGATCGTGCTCTGGGATGTTCCGATCTCGGAACAGTCCCTGTGAACGAGTCCCTCGTACATTTTTGATGACGCAGGGCTGACAGGCGAGACACTTTGGTTTTCCTCTCAGCCACCCGTTTTGAAAATCAAGGTGCTCAGAATACAGAGGTTGCCCGGCTCATTTTCCAGGGTCTGTCGGGCCCCTCTTTGAGCGCTGCATGCGGTGAGCTCAACGGGATTTCATGCATACATGAAGGCATCCGACCGAGCTTCCACCCTGGGTGTCATCACCATGAAGAATTTGCGAAGGCTGAATGCCATTGTAGATCCGGCCGCGTGGCCTATGGCAGCTTATGAAAGTGTTTCTTCATGGATGCTGGCACCGTTGTTGGGCACACAAGTGTACAGGCTGCCCAGTCGTCGTCATGGACCTGAGTGTCCGTGTAGGTATCATACGTTAAGCATTGTCTAGAATTCCATTAAGTCTTCCCTGCCTTTTTGAATACGTCTGGCATGCCAGGAAACCTTGGCAAAGGGGAGCTCATTCCAGGGGCGCAAGATCTTTGAAGCGGGCCTTTGAACGCCCGGGCGCGCCCCATCCTTGCAGAGACGAGGTAACTGCTGGGCTGAAGGCAGCCTGGCGAGAACTTTCTGCCGACCTGAAGGAGGCTCGTCTGAGACGGCACCAAAAAGACTTGCTGACGCCCCTTCCTCCCTGTAATCGTGACTAATAAAAATTATATTAGGGCCCTATTATATTCCTATTGTACCACTATTACAGGGTTCATGCTTGCACACATAGAGGCAGTAAATCAACAGCACTGATGCTTCTGCGTATCAGTGTGTCAGGCACCCACAAGGCTACAGGTGGATTGCCTGTCATGTGCGGACATTCATGGCAATCGAGGGAAGGGAGAGACCACGACTATGGGTACTTGTTGTGAAGAGTATTGAAAACTGCATCAGCCATGCACGACATGGCCACTTAGGTCAGGCAGATCCGAGCCACGCGGAGCTGCCCAACACCGGGAGAAAAGCCGATTCTTGCTTCAGAGAGCTGAGCCGATTGAGATCGAACGAGTCTGCTTGCGATTGAGTTGGGAGTTTCCGAGGATAGGGGACCCCAATATAGCCGCCAAACCAGTCGGATCCTTACTTTAAGGACCCCAAAAAAAGGTATCCTAATTTTCGGAAACTCCCAGTTGTGCTCTCGGATACAGGCGGCTGCGCGGCCTCGAGCTGGGTTGTGGGACCGGAGTGGCAGGCTGAACATCTAATATAGGGGCCTTAGCAATTAGAACAGGGTTTAGGGGCTCATGATAGTATAATTACTATAAGGAGCAAGGAACCCCAAAAGAGTATTGATACTTATTAAGGCCCCTATGGAGTCGCTGCGGCTGTGGGCAGAGCAGATGCTATCCTTACGCCCGGCAGGCCTCAGCTTCGCCCTCATGGGAAACGAGGCCCAAAGCCTCTGGGTGCTTGTGCTAAGAAACTACGACTCCTACTCCTACTCCTACTCCTACTCCTACTCCTACTCCTACTCCTACTCCTACTCCTACTCCTACTCCTACTCCTACTCCTACTCCTACTCCTACTACTCCTACTACTACTACTACTACTACTACTACTACTACTACTCCTACTCCTACTCCTACTCCTACTCCTACTCCTACTCCTACTCTACTCCTACTCCTACTCCTACTCCTACTCCTACTCCTACTCCTACTCCTACTCCTCCTCCTCCTCCTCCTCCTACCTCCTCCTACTCCTACTCCTACTCCTACTCCTCCTCCTACTCCTACTCCTACTCCTACTCCTACTCCTACTCCTACTCCTACTACTCCTACTACTACTACTACTACTACTACTACTACTACTACTACTACTACGACTACTATTATACTACTATTATACTACTAGTAGTAGTAGTAGTAGTAGTAGTAGTACTACTACTACTTCTTCTACTGGGCTCAGCCCTGGGTTTTGCCAGGTGCTGCTGACAGACATCGGCGACCTCCAAGCCTCTCTGACCCAGGCCTGGGATGGCTGCCCGTGCTTCCGGGTTCAGGGTTTCGGGGTTTAGGGTTTAGGGTTCAGGGTTTTGGGGTTTAGGGGTTATAGGGTTTAAGTTGAAGGTTTTTGGATTTAGGGTTTAGGATTTGGGTTTAGTGATTCAGGTTTGTAGTATGAGCTTGTTCCGGCTTATGCCAGGTATAAAGTCGCGGTGGGCCGGTGCACAAGTGCGGAAACTGGGGTTGCGGCCCCTAGACCCCAGACCTGGAAAACCCTGAGCCACCCATGGCTGTAATGTAGGGGGCCTCAGTAATTCGAATGGGGTTTTGGGGTATGTTATACTAGAAATATGACAGGGAACCCCCAGAATAGTATGGGTAAGTATTAAGGCCCCTATAGTAGTCGTGGCCTGTGCTCAGGGGAACATCACGCAGAACCAGGCCTCCCTCGCGGCCGCCGGTGGGGCAGCAAGCTATGGCAGCCTAGACTGGAGAAGGCTTCGACGGGTGGGGGTTGGGGGGGATTAGGGTTTTTGGCTTGGGAGTTTAGGATTTTGGGTTTAGGGCCGTTTAGGGATTAGGGATTAGGGTTTTGGGCTTGGGGTTTCAGGGTTTCGGGGCCTGATGGTGGGAAACTGGTAAGTGATAATCCATGGGTACTTATGTGTGTCAATGTACCAAGGAAAATGCTGTCATCGCCGTTGAATATTCACTTACAGTTTCCGATTTTCCATGATCTGTGGAAGTTTCTATGTCTATCTATATTTATATATATATATATATATATATATGTACATACCTTTATATACATATGTATACAGACTATATCTCGATATGGTCACCCCCCCCCCGCCCAAGATGCACACGCGCCTGTTCCTCAAGACTCTAGAGGCTCCTTCCCTATACAGTATTGGTACACGACTCAAACAAATCGCGCCTTTCGTCATGTGCATAAACCGAGGGTATAGGACAACATCAATGAGACTGAATGAAGACTCTTGTTTCATAGTAGGAAGGCTCCAATGTCTTATATTGATGGCAGATGTCAAAGGGTCTGCAGTATGAAGTAAAATGAGGCTAAGATGGACTGCTGCTTCACAAGAAATAGCCTCTATTCCTCGAAGACTGAAAAGAGCTCCTTCCTATCTTGTGATACAACTATTGGCGGCATCCAAACCACAGCCATGGAGAGACCGATCGGCATCTTCTTGCAGGGTATGAGCGAGGCAGCTTGGGTCAGAATAAATAGAAGTTTTTTGCTCTTTGTGGAAAAGCAATAAAGTCGACAGCCGTTTGGTAAAATAGACCAGTAAACACACCTTTGATTGTCCGTTGATAAGATTTGATGGACTCGAATGAGTATTGATTGAACAGTTATGAGCGCTTCTCTTAATGTTGTGTTACATTCTATGACAGGAATTAGAGTAACAACCATGGACACAGAGATCAGATTTTTCAGGGAGTAAGACAGCATCAATAAGAGTAAACGGAAACTCCTGTTTCATAGGAAGGAGCAAAGGAAGTCGCCATTTTCCTACAATGATGGCAGACTGCACGCGAATTCTTACATTCGTCAGAATGAAGTAAAATCAGATTAAGATGAGCCCCCCTGTTTGAAGGCTGAAGAGAGCCCCCTTTCACCTTGTGATGCGGTGTCTCGTTTCCTGGTCATCACGAAACGCTGTAATGCTCCGAAAACTTCTAAAATTTACAACCCTGAAACTCAGGAACATTGTAACGCTAAAAGGTTCCAAAAGACTGGCATCTATGGCGGGGCTGGGGGCGACAATATAATTTATTGCATCACTACATTGTTTCGTGGTCCGAACCTCACGAAACACCATAACGCTCAAAAACTCCAAAATTCCCAACCCTGAAACTCAGGAAACCTTGCAATGTTCAATATTCAAAATTCTGGCATCTATGGCTGGGGGATGGAAAATCACTAATTTTTGAGTCTTGGATTTTAGTTGAGCCTTGCAGTGTTTCGTGTCCTGAACCTCACAAAACTCTGTAATGCTCAACGAATTCTAAACGTCACAGCCCTAAAATTCACGAAGCACTGTAATGCGGAAAGAATTTTTAAAATTCACAATTTTGAAGAAGTTTGCCACCGCCTAGCTATACATGTCAGAAGTTTTAGATTTTTTGGTGTTGATGAGCATTACTGTGTTTCTCGGGTTTTAGGGTTGGGAATTTTCAGTGAATGTTGGAAACGTTTATGCATTACAGTGTTTGGTGCACCCCACGCCCCATGAACCACTGAAGCGTGGATCTTGGGAGAGGGGCAGGCATGCATACATATATATGTATATATATATACATACGTATATAGGTATATGTATGTAATGTCTGCATGTACGTATGCACGTATGTATGTAAGTATATATGTGTGTGCGTATGTATGTATGTATGTATGTATGTATGTATGTATATAGGGCTCAGGAACACCTCTAGGTGAGGATAGCCGGTAGCCCCAGTGGCACAAGCCACGACTTCGCCCGCTTGGCATCGAGCCCAGCGCAGACAAAGGGCAAGACTCCGCCAACGAGTACGGCATCGAAGGCAGAAGGGTCTGCCGCTCCGGGATAAGGACATCCAGGTGCTGGAAAAGCACCATTCGAAGCCACGATACAGACGCGGAGACACCGACGCCATGGGGCGTGGCGGCAAGGGACAAGGGCGCTCCTCTGGTGGGCAACAGGATTATGGTGGCTATCGACTGTGGAAGGGTGCCTACTCCCCTTCACAGCGGCCGTGGCGGAACAACCAGGCCGACGAATCCTGGCACGGGAAACCTGCTTTTCCGTCTTATACAGCCATGCCACGCCCACCGCCCAAGGAGACACACACCAACGTTGCCATGCCAGAGCTCCACACTCCTGGAAGTATGGTACACGACCTGCAAGAGCTGCTGAATGGAGCAAGGCGAGCCGAGCAGAAGGTGGCCAGAATCGTACAAGCCAGAGATCGGGAGCAGGCGCAGTATCAGGAATTCCAGAAGCAGATGAAGGAAACTTTCCTGAAAGAGAAGCAACGCTTCGCGAAGTCAGAGGCCCGATACGAGAAAGACATTGCGGAAGCAGTGGACGAGCAAAATCGCGCCCGCCTGCTTGTGAGAAGTGCCTACTTGGGAATCGAGACGATCCCTGTGGAGAGAGCACCCGGAGGCAAGCTCACGCGCGCCGAAGAGGACTTGGCATGGGACCAAGCCCGCGAGGCCTGGGAGAAAGACGAGGGCAGTACCATGGACGGTGTCCTCAAGAGGGCCATGGAGCCTGGACCATCCTTCGGCGACCGCGATGCTGTCGGAGACACTGGAATGCGACCGGACCTGAGATCAATGGTCAACAGTGTGGACACGGCATGGGAGGCAGCTCGCAGTGCCGGAGCACACGACCCTGCCGGAGCCAGGCCAATGGAGATCCACCCTGCTACCGACGAGCTGGACCAAGCCGATGGGAGCGACCCCAAGGCAGGTGTGGCCGAGGTCGAACCCCACGCTGGACAGACTCCCCTCGGAGCCCCAGGCAATGCGGAAAGGATCCGCCCTTCACCGAAGCACACAGGACAACGCGAGGGAGGCACCCGTGTACCCACCTCCCAACAGCCTCCGCGCGACGGCATCAAAGAAGCCAGCAAGCATGCACCGTCTTCTGCAGAGCAAGCCCATGGCCTGCCTCTTGGGGAACGGCTCGAGGAGAAACGCCGTGCTATGATGCCTTTCCATGGCCAGGGACCTCACAACCGCCCTCCGGCCGAACCTCCGAAAGGGCTGCTATCCGAAGGGGAGAAAGCACTTCCACACAGCCCTGGACTCGCCAAACTGGACGTGTGATGCATTACTCGTGGCCCCCGGAGATCGGTCAGTTCTTTCCTGTTTTGAGGACTCTGGTCGGCCCAGGCGGTTGGAGAGCGGACAGCCACATGGGTGCGGCTGTTCTGCTTTCAGCTACCTTGTTGCCGGTCGGAGAATACCTCTCACAGGAATTTATTGACGCGATCCTCCACGGGCCCCCATTGCTGAGTGCCTCCCAGACCGATGTACAAAGCTGTGAAAGACTATTGTACAGTTTTCTTCTGTACATCTTGCCTCTAGGAGGCTCCCATTTTTGGATGACACTGAGAGTGCCTCTCTGTTTCCCATGTCCAGCACAGGTCCATCGCCCCACTGGCTTGCTGCCTTATGTTCCTGCGTGCTGCAAGCCCCCTTTTGCTGAGACCAACGAGGGAACCTGTCACATGGACTGTGACGGTCTCCCTCTGCGGTCTTCTCTGTCCTCCGCTGACGACCAGACGCACTGGGTTTGTGCGGACTGGTCGCTGGCCCCGCCCTTATGCTCACACAATGCCTTTACCTTCCCGGACCCTAAGAGGTTTTGGGGTTTAGGCCACCCCCTTAGTGGTTGCAAGGAGCGCGAAAGAGACACATCCGTCGCTGTGGGGTGTCCGCCCATGCTTCCTCTACCGGGGTTTACTGACTGCGACTCCGATGCCTTGAGTCTTCGTTGTCACAGGAAGTGTTTGATGTCTGTGGACTTTCTTCCAGGTCCCGTTCCTGACTTGCCATCCGGCAATGTCCGTCAGAAGATACCTTCGAGTTCCACAGGCGCAGATGTTCTTCATGCAGGCGCTGCTGCCTTGCACAGATGGCTGTGTGGCCTACTTTTGCCTTTCTGTGCACATTTTGCCCTTTTAGTGCTCATTGCTTTGGCCAGCTTGCTTTTGAAACAATGCGGGCCTCCGTGGAGCCCCTTACGTCGCCTGCTCTTGGCGCTTTCTTCGGGCCTGCCGACCACTTTCCTGCTGCCGGTCGCATCCTTCTCACCAAGGCAAGCCGACGGTGTCAACGATTCAGCCCTCTACCGTGGCACGCTCCACTCTAAGGGTACCCCTCCCGACCGATCACGCCGGTGCCCCGTCAGACGCACAGGCTGGAGCGGCCTCTGGTTACCAATTTTGTGGAGCTTGCCTGCTCAAGTTTGGGCTGTTCCGGAACCATGGAGGTCAGTCATTCAGGCGCTGCAAGCCCAAGCTGAGAATGTTCCGGCACCTCTCGAGGATACTGCCTTCCCTAGCGGTGCTGCCTCTATTTTCCAGGGTCCAGAGGAACAGCGCATTCACCTTCTGACTCATGTCCAAAACCATGAGCTGCAACGGCCTCTAGAGAACAGCAATGACATCCCGGTGCCACCACTACACGCCCCACCCGAGGTTGGGCAGCTGACCCCTCGTAGCTTTGAAGGTGTTTGTTATGTACTGGCGCCCCAATACCAGGCCGAGACACTTCAGCTCACATTGCAGCCTCCGGTTGACATGGAGACGTTCTTCAATGCAGTAAGGGACAGACTCCAGCTTCTGCGCCTCCCTCACTGTACGATCCTTGCTCCCACTGTTCCTCAATTGGGTCCCGATTACGCCTCGATTGTGGTAGCCCCTAAATGGTTGCCACAGACAGGACAACAGTGCGTTGTCTTCGATTTTCGAGCTTTTGGTG